GGCCTAAACACATTCGGGGACTCTATTGGTGTCTTTTTAGGAACAAGAATAACAAGAGAATTCTTGCAGCTGTCAGGCATACACTTGGTTGCAAATAATTCATGAGTAGCCATTAGGACCTCTATGAATGATGGGCCAAAAATATTTATAGGAGGTGATGATTACGTTAATTCCTTAGCAGTTGGGTCCCTTCTCATTAATGGCCTTCCAAATCTCCTCATCACCGATCAACGCAATGAGCTGGTTGGAGAAATCAACGAGTGTTTGTGTGGAATGCTGCAGGTTTGGTCATCCATCAAGTTGTATGGGGGTGTGATGCCACTTTTTGGAAAAAAAAATTGTTGAAATTCAGAATAATATGACATACTTTATGGTTTCATTGATATGAACCAGAGTATAAATAACCCTTATAAGAATTCTATAATAGGAAAAATAATAAAAAAGAAATGATATGAAAGAAAAGATATATCTCCTAATATCTCCAATAATCAATTCATATTAATTATCAGGAGATATATGAAATAATATAAAATGGTAAAACAAATAATTCCCAATCAAAGAAAAAAATATAAAATAGAAAAGAAAATATCTTCTTATATTAAGGAAATAATTCATTTCTCATAACTTTTTATAGGAATAAATTATTTCCTATTATAATTCTTAATAGGAAATTAATACTCTCCCTCAAGTTTGGAATGCATGCTAATAATTCCTAACTTGCTCAGTAGTGAAGAAAAATTGGTCGTTTGGATTATCGAGTTTGCTAGATTCTGGCTTGGCTGAATTTTGTATTTTGTCTGTCATATGTTTCGACGTAAAAGAGAGATTCATGTTTGATTAAATTTGCTTGATTCATATTTGACTGAATTTTGAGTTTTGGCTGCCATATATTTCGACGTAGAAGAGAGATTTAGACTTGGCTGAATTTGTTGGATTCAGTCTTGGCTGAATTTTGAGTTTTGCAGGGAAAAAAACAACCTACAGGAAAACTAACTTTTAGTTGATCGCGGTTGTCGTTGGATGCGGAAAAAAACATGTAAATCACACCCAGTAAATTCTGTTGACAGAGAAAGCGGTAGAAGAAAGGGCGGCTAGAAACAGATCTCTCTTTAACGCTTGGGTCAGGGAATAAAAAAATACCCCTGACGCTTTGACAGGAAAAAAAAAAACTGCAGAAGGGCCGATGATGGATTTTGTCGGCATTGTTCTATCCACGACAGCGATATCTCCTGCTAGATGATGATGAGGCGGGTGGTGGCATTGCGGGTGTCGCCCTGGCTAGAGCCCTATCGCTGGTGCCGGCATAGGAGGATACAACGCAGGAATTTTTTGGATGGTTTGTGGTGATGTCTGGCCAAACTCCAAAGTTTTTTTGTCATCATGGTTTCTTGGGAGCCGTGTACAGAAGTGAAGTAAGATCCCTCGACTTTCTGAAAGACCTCAGAGAAGGAGATTCGTCCAAAACATCAACCCGTGCATTTCTAGGCTATGGCGGTGGCAACAAGCTTCTAGTCGGATCCGAAAAGTTAGGAGTGCTATGTAGATGGTCATTCCCCATCATCGTTTGCAGTATGCTGATTGGAGGAGTCTCTGATCGCAATCTAGCCAGCAAGGCATTAGCCGCATTGGGAGGCGGAGATGGAGTAGGAGACGCTGAGAACAGAGGCAAGAGCCAATACTCCTCAAAACTGAAGCTACCCTTCCTATTTTCAAATCTGTATCCATTGAAATCTCTTCGTGGAACACGATTAATGGGTGAAATCGATAACTTGGGTTAAAAGCTACGGTGCGGAGGGGGGCTAACATAGCCCTTGTGAGGGCTGCGACTCGATCTATATGGTTCATCATATCGATACTTGTGGCAATTGTTACAGTAAGTTCGTCGTGCAAAATTTAGATTTCCGCACGACGGATTTTGGCATATCCAGTCACCTTCCCTTGGTGAAAAATTTGGATCATTTATGTGGACAAACTCTCCTTCATATGAGGACATTATATGTGTGGTTGAATCAATTCCTCTCGTGTGGTTTGCCGCCTCTCCCAAAGGTATGGGGTGAGAAGTTGCGAAATCTGCCACCTCCTCTCCCTCACATTCCACGACCTGAACATGGTTCGCGAGGGTGCCTAAAATCTGGTTCAAAATAACCATCATCCACACTTGGCCGACGCAGCGGTGAAATAGAACGTGGACATTGTATGTGCCCTGGATCATTCTGAAACCTTTGAAACCGTGGATGGAACGCTAGAGGGGACCCGTGCTGTCGAAGACCAATTGCAGAATCACGACACTGTAGACCAAGTTGGGGCGCACTGTGGCAGAATTCATCAGGAGACCTCCGACGATGCAGTGGCGAGTAGTCCCCAGGGCGTCGTCTAGACCACGGAGATTCACAGGGATGAACATCTTGAGGATGCGCGGACCCGGAGACGGCGATAGGGATAGCACCTCTAGTTCGGACTTCGAGGCAGCATCGAGATCGAACTCTCCGGAGCACATCTCTGTGATTCTTTCCATGGCTTCTGTAACTTGATGAGGCGGTGGGGAATTAGGGATTTGGAGAAGAAGAAAACTTCGTCATTTCAAATATCAAGATGAGTGTCCCTTCCTTCCTGCATAGAGGATGACAGAAAGGGAATCCAGAGTCCAACATTTTTCAAAGGACCGGTGGCTAGGGTACGAAACCTTGCTCCGATGCCATGTTGAAATTTAGAATAATGCGGAATACTTTCTTGTTTCATTGATATGAACGAGGGTATAAATAATCCTTACAAAAATCCTAAAATAGGAAAAATAATAAAAAGGAAATGATATGAAAGGAAAGATATATCACCTAATATTTTCAATAATCAATTCATATTATTTATTAGGAGATATAAGAAATAACAAAAAAATAGGAAAATAAATAATTCATAATCAAAGGAAATAAATATAAAATAGGAAATGAAATATCTCATTATATTAAGTAAATAATTTATTCCTCATAACTTTTTATAGGAATAAATTATTTCCTATTATAATTCTTAACAAAAATTAAGTCATGAAGGCATTCGCAAAGCCTTCTTGATCATGAGAGAAGCAGCCATCAGAAATGTTGATACGGTTAATGCGATTGTATTTATACGGTGGCAAAGCAATGGAATGAAAAAGCGAGAGTTGACGTCCCCCCCTCATTAAGCCAACAAATTTTGGCCCGTTGTTGCCACCAAGAAGCAATATGTGCGAGAGCAAAATTGAGCTCATTGTCTTAAGTCTTCAAATTGTTCTCATCGGATGGTTGGAGGCCCTCACTGGAGCATTCTTTCTCTTGGAGTTTTTTTCAGCTTCAAGGAAAGTTTTCCGCTGTTGACACTTTGCATCGTGTTCTTACTCCAATATTGGAGAGCTTTGAACGTTCTTTTGCTTTTTCTGTACAGGACATCAGCCCCATTGCCAAAGTCATTTTTGCTCCAGGATTTTTGCACTATGTGCCACGCGGTGGGAACTGAAAGCCACATATCCTCAAATCAAATTATATTTAGCAACTGAAACTTCGGTTGTTGGATCTCAAGATTGACAATGCACAATAAATGCTTGGTAGTAGTATTTGGAATGATTTGGAGAGCTGACTCGTTGGCAAGGATGCGGTTGTGTCTAATGATTAAGTATTTATTTCAACATCCCAGATGTTTGATTCTTTCCCTTAATATATACTTTCTCAAATAGATTTATAGAAGATTAGATAGGTATTTTTTGACACACATGTCAATTTTTGTATGCAAATATGTTTTTTGAAATTTTTTATTAAATCTTTTATTCATTGTGCTTTGGCAATGCTCAAGTTTAAGGAGCTGTATTTGGAGAGCAAATGCTGATGACATCATTGTGTTTACTTATTCCAATGATTTAGTTTAAGAAGTGATATGTTGTGAGCTACTGAGCATAGCCCAGCACAAAATCTTATCTACAGCATTGATTCCTTTTATTCAAGGTTAAGTTCTGCAGTCCTGGTGGACCAATCAAGGGATTGAAGAATGCTAGTTTTTGTTATCAAAATGCATAACCCGATAATCTGTAGCAATATGCATGCATAACACATGACACATAAAATTACAACCTATACTCTCCCTTGACAAAGAGACCCTTGATATATAGAGTGAACTAGGATGTAATCTATGATGTCATGTACTTGAGATATAAGCCACATCTCTTCAATTTTTTTTTTTAAGAAAGTAGAAATTGAGAGAAGGAAATTAGCAAGTATAGAGCTTGAACGATTAGAAAATAAATTGATGCAAACATGTTTTGCCATCCTTTGGTTTTGCTTTAAGCAAAAAATTGTAAATAAATTAACTGATTGTTTTGAGATTCCTACAATGTCTTAACGATATGGTCAATACAACTAACACTTCTTCTGGTAGGTTGGAGATCACATCTTGTTCTTAAAGATAAGTAGTTAGCATTGAATAAACTCTAAATATCTTGGGATTGAAACCTTTCAGAAGCTTTAACTGATATAAACGGAAAGAGAGGGATAACAGGGAAACAAATGAACTCCATGAGGAAATAATATTATCTCAAAAGGAAGAGATTTGGTGGAAAATATCTCATTTCCGTGGAAATCATACCAATGATATAATAAGCTTTAGGCCTTAATAAGACAAAATGCTATTATCTTCCTTTCAAAATTTAAAAAATTCATCAAAAGTTTGTTGAGGTAAGCCACAATATCTTCTTAAATAGCTTTAAGTTGCAAACAAGATCCTAAAATAACTTACTAAAAGCTCTGAATGAATAAATAAATACATTGAGGCTTTTTAAGAACTAATATAGTTCAGTTTATCTGCATTGTGGAAAATATGCACAATAAACTCAATGACTTTATACATCACATTCCCTGATTACCTTCTTTCATATGGTTTTCCTTTCGGGAGAAATTTCTTCTTTTATGAGCTCTGGATTTAAATTCTTTTGGTTGCAATTTTGAATTGTGGAATGCTGATTTCCTTTATCAATCCTACAGCTTGGATGTGGTCATGGCCTTCCTGGAATCTTTACTGCACTTACGGTATGTTATCCGGTCCATTTTAATAATATCTATAATTTTCTTACATGCACATTTAATTAGATTAACATTTACCTACTTTCTTTCTACAAGGGTGCTTCTACCATCCATTTTCAAGATTTCAATGCTGAAGTGCTCCGGTTTCTTACTATTCCAAATGTAAAAGCTAATCTGACTGAAAATTCACCATACTGCCTACCTTCTGGAAAAAATACAGAAGTCAATATGCCATCTAATGTTTGCTTTTTTGCTGGTGACTGGAGTGAGGTGCACCATTCGCTGCTTCATGGAAGCAAAGATGGCTGCCAAAATGAGGATTACTCTAATGGTGTATCCAATGATGGTTATGATATTATTTTGATGGCAGAAACTGTATATGCACCGTCTTCTCTCCAAAGCTTGTATGAACTTATTAAGAAGGTTTGTGCTTGAATATTTTTTAATCTTGACTATTATTGCTACTATTAGAATAAAATTTTAAGTTGTTTTTAGCATAATGAAATTTTAACTACATGTTACAGTGTCTGTGCCCCTCTAAGGGAATTGTTTATGTTGCCGGAAAGAAGCACTACTTTGGGGTTGGTGGAGGAACAAGGCAGTTTATAAATTTGGTTGCCGCAGATGGTGAGTTGGTAGTTAAACCAGCAGGCTCATAACAATATTCAAATGCTCTGATTTTCCTAATTTTTCATTCCATATTTTGAATTAATCCGCTGCAAAAAAATGTGAACTTAATGGAGTTCAATTATGGTTTTACATGTTCAATGGTTGCAAGTCATGTGCGAAGTGTATGTTATATTTAATTCCCTCACTAAAGATCATCAGACCCATTAATTCTAAATGTTATCATCTGGCCTCATGTTTTTAAAAGCATTTAACCTTTCATCTTTTTCTAGCCAAAATTGAAGGACCTGGATGAATGCCTATGCCCAGTTTTTAGTTATTCTCATCATATTGGCAGATTCTTTTTGTTCATCAACTCCTATAATTTAATGTCTCATGTTTTGTCTCATGTTTTGTTTGCTTTTTGCCTGCTAAGAATAATATTGTTGGTTGAATGCCTATGCTTTTTAACTGTTGTTTGTTTCTTCAGGTCAAATGAAACCTTTATTGCTTGCTGAGGTTGCTGATGGTTCTTCAAATGTTCGTGAAGTGTGGAAACTTTCAAACGAATAGAACTCAAAACTGAAGAATTCTTCTCATGTTGTTTCTTACATTTTTCTGTCACACTCCTCTTAGTCTATGATTTCTAAGCATTTTCTAATGTTCCGAAGAAAAATTGAATAGTTAAAATTCTTTTAGAAATCCTTGATATGTATGAAAAAGTTACTATCTTTTTTTTTCTCATGGATGGGTTCCAAACATGGGTAAAAACAATGCTAACACATCATGGTGTAGAAGACCTTGCGAGCATCATTGCTATTGCTGAAAGCCTAATTCATTAATCTTGTTAGAAGTTGTCCAAGCTCAAGGAGAAGAAGAGTGACAACAAGAAAGGCTGGGGTAAAAAAAAAAAATGTTGGGAAGAGCTTAATCAAGATAACCACAAAAGAGATTGCCACCATCAAGATGTCTTCAAATCCTGGGATAAGATCAAGCATAAAAGAAAATACTAGTTAGCCTACTCCAAGGCACAATTGTTTCTTAGTAGTCCTCCTTGGATGATGGAGTGCTTGAAAACAGTGGCACTGAACGCACAGGCTCCCACCTTTTAAGAACAAGGGGCAGGATGTACAAGGAAGTTGATCAATGTGGGATGCTATTCAAAATTTCTCAAAGGGTATTTATCGACAAAGATGTGCACATCCCACTTGATTGGAGGAATATAAAACATTGGTTGACATAGAGCAACACATAACTTCATCTTTATAGAGAAAACCAAGAGATTGGGACTGAAGATGGTCGGTGAATGCGCAATGATTAAGGCCATCAACTTCATGATGAAGCCCATCCAAGGCATAACTTGTGTGATGAAGACCACCTTAAGCACATTGGTGGGTAACTAAGATTTGTTTGTAGTTGCACTAGACGTCTTTAATGTAGCGCTTTAACTAGACTTCCTTGCCATGTCAAATTTTTCTTATTCCCTTTTCCAGTACTAAGTACATCTTAACGGGGATAAGACTTTGTGTAATACCCACAATAAAGGCCATCAAGTTTGAAGCAAAGGTGCTATTGGTCATACAACTCAAGAAAGGCTCGAGGAGAGATGAAAAAAGTTACTTGGCTATACTAAGTGGGGTTGATGAGAAGCCAACGACCGAAGAGGACATACCAAAGGAGATAATCCTAGCCCTCAACACTTTCAATTGTCGCATTTATGGAGTCTTCTGAGGACCTACTTTTAAGAGGGGCAAGTGTGGTAGTTAAGGAACAAATACTAAGGGCGCCAATTATGGTAGCTGAGGAATTTAACCAATAAGCAGATTTATCAGTCATTAGTCCACAAATTGATAATAGTAATTGGAAGGGACTATTCAACTTAGGAGACAACTATAAGTTTGAGGATGACCAGTCACACTATAGAAATTATATCCAACATTACACTAATGTGAATGTGTGATGAGGGCATCATGAGTTTAAGTGTGGGAGAATGTCATGACCTTGTAATGATAAATGAGATCACTGAACTCCTTTGGGTGTATCGTAAGCATGGATGACAAGATCCTCCAGAATCATTTTGGATGGAACCATTATGTTCTACAAGTTTCTACACAAGCCTAGGTTCATCTTAAAAGCTCTTGAATTTCCTAGAAGATTTTTTATTTTACTAGAATTTTCAACAAGTTTTTTGAATTCTCTAAAGCATTCTATATAATTCATGAATAATTTGCAAGTCACTAGATCTTTCTAGATTATTATGGGTGTTTAAGGGTAGTATAGAATTATGTATAAGTATCTAGAGTCATGAATTGTGTTGTGTTCCTTGAAATTTTTCTAGAATAGTTATGATTATTTTGTAATTCTCTAGAAGTTTGTAAGATTAACCTTATAATTATTGTTTTCATGAAGTGCATATATATGTTATCAAATCAAATCTATGTTAAAAAAATAAAATTTCTCATAAAGTGGATTCAGAGCATTTGTTAAAGGACAATTTCTGTAATCTAAGTATATGAAACTTAGAAGCTGTAAATTTAGTTGTACAAATGGCTACGATTTATCTCCAAAATAATTGAGCGTGAAAGATTTCTTATGTTTTCAACTTCTCAGGCATGCATTTCTTTATCCATGCTTTGTAGATGTCGTGAATTAAAATTTTAAGGGCCAGTCCTTTTTATAAGAAACTAGAGGTGATTTAAAAATGAAATGAGTTGATGCTCTATCTTGTCACTTGGCTTTGTACAGTTTAGATTATTTATTCTAAAATACAAGAATGGTAACAATCAATTAGAGATTACCATAAAGATAAATAAATTTCAATTTTTTCACCATAAAGTTTGAATACAATGACCACTATCAAATGCCAGTGAAAATAGAAAACAAACTTGTTTTAAAAACATTTGTATATACAATAATAAGTTTCTCAAACTAAAATAGATTGTAAATGTGTTCCAAAAACATGTGTTTCAGTCCTCTACCAGCAGTCACCTTAGTTAAACATAAAATATTTACATCGACCTAAATGGATAAATGCCGCATTCATACAAAAAGTAAATTACATGAAACCAAACAATTGAATAATTCTGCTATTTAGAATAGAGTGAATGGTTGTATATTATATTGAATTTATTAGGAGTTCAAGAAAAAGTTAATTACTGAGGATAATATTACTTACATCTCATTTCCTAACACAAGGAAAACTAATACAGAATAGAATAACTGAATAATATACATTTCTAAAGTTCAGTTTTGAAGGTTGAAATCTTTTATTAGAGTAAACATGGTCCTATCTATTCTTTGTCTGCATTTTATAGAAACCTAGAAAACTGAATGAAGTGTCGAAAGACAATCACTGTAGCAGTTTTCATGTTGCAGCAGAACGAAGTTGCAATATGCGATTTTTGGGTAAATTAATTAAAATTGCAATTTATTTGCCTCAATAGAAAGTTATGGATCTGCATTAAAACTTTTTTGCAATTTTTTGTTGTTGAAAACTTAAGGCATGCATTTTGGATAAGGTGGAACAATAAAACATAGGTTTGTAGGTTGCTGAAAATGGAATTGATTAAAATTTGGCTCATCATCATAATTATGATAATTACTTGCAAGATATGAGATGATATTACAATTTCTTAAGAGATTTCTCAAACATTTCAACCAGTGATGGAGAATGACCTAAAGTTTGCTTCTATATGATGCAAATTATTTAATATATGATTGTTAAATCCTTTCTTGTCCATGAATTATACTCAAGAAATGAAGCATATGGAAAGAGAGAACACTGACACAAAATAAAAGAGAGAGAAAGAGAGGGAGAGAGAGTAGGGAAATGGTTATATTAACTCTTTTAATAACCGTCTCATGGGGGAGGAAGAAGCACCTCTTATCTTAACTTCCCCCATATATTATAATTAGCTACAGATTTCTTGGAATTTCTGAGTGTCTGGATCTATCATTTAATTTCTCTGGTGTATACATTATATTATGTTTGTTATCATTTCTTCTATTGACATCATCTTCTCTTGGTTTTAGCTTTCTTCTATGTACTCTGATTGTTACATCCATTGTCTAGTTCGTCTGTTTGGTCAGGGATGAGTTCTCTAAAAGAACTATTTTGGGAAGGTTGCTTTGGGAGAACACTCTTGCGAGAGTTATTTTTTTGGACGAATAGAGGAGGTTAAATATAGGTAGTCGAATGAAGGAGATCGAATATAGGAGGCCAGATGCAGAAGGCTAATTGCAAGAAATTGAATGCAAGTGGCAGAATGTAGGAGGCCGAATATAAATTACTAAATGCATGTGACCGAATGTAGGAGGCTGATTACATGAGTTCGAATGTTACTGACCGAACACAGGTCAATAACATGAGGCCAAATTTAGGAGGATGAATGTAGGAGGTTGAATATATGTAGGAAGTTGAATGTAGGTGGTCGATTGCAGGAGGCTAAATATAGGAGGCCAAATACAGAAGACTAAACATAGGCGGCCTGATCCCAAGTTCCTGGTTCAGGGGATTTTGGCCATATATGTTTTGTTCTCCGATTCTCTTATTACTTTTAAATATAACATCAAAAGAATTAAGCAAATGATAAACATGAAATTATGCATTGCTTGTTTCTATAAGACAAGTATTTATTCACTCTCTAAAGAATAAGATCCTTTAGATCCATTATTTTTTCAAAATATGCGTCAAAGTTGTTGAAGTAAAGATGAGTGGTGTGTTTCTCTATGTTGATTATCCGTTTGTCTGGGGGCTCTTAGTTTTCTTATAGGGAATCATTATGAGGGTAATTCAGCTGCACCTACAAGATTCTGACCTGAGGTTATTTTGGCTCATCTTCAGGGAGTGGTCTCATGGATTACTAGCTCATTTTTATTATCATAAATAATTTAATCTTTTATGCAAATAGATTGACTTTTTTCTTGCAATATAACTCAGTTACAAAGAAACTCATAAGGTTTTATTAAATTTTGACTATACTTCACCTGGGGGTTGTATCTCTTCTATATGGGGTAGTTGTTATAATTTTTTAACTTTATGAAGGCAAAGATCTCGTGGCCTTCAATCTCTAGATTAACTGACTCCATCCTTTATTTGAATCAGCTATCGTTCGGAAAGAGTTTCTCCAAAGTTGTATCTAGCATTCGACTATTCTGTTGAGTAGGGTCTAAAATTGAAGCAATTTTTTTCTTTTACTCTTAGCAAACTTGTTTTTGAGGGGCAAGTTTCTTGAGTGCTATTGGCGAACTTATTCGATATAACAAGTAATGTTGGTATTACTCATCATATACACATTGAAGAAGTATTAAGTATAAGTACAATGATTAAATTAAAGATACGAGAGTGGGTTGTGAGAGATTTTCTTGTTTTGTAGCTCTACTCCATCATAACTCTTCTCTTTCAATGAAGATTTTTTTTTTTGAGAAATCTTTTGGGGGAGATATTTTTCCGGATGAATGCAAGGGTCATTCCGATGAATTTAGTTTTTCTCTCAGATGGGCTCTCCAGTGCATTATATGTCACTCGTTACTTTTCTATTATTTCGTTCAACTTCTTATGTGGCTCATCTTCTTATGTGACTCGTCTTCTTGTTTGTGGCAGAATCCTTGCTTACCACACATTTTTGATTCTTGAATTCATTTTTATCAGGGAATCATACTCTAGGAATAAAGTATAAAAAAAGGAGAGA